GAAGGAATCCACATAGCATGAGTTATGGATACCAGCGTTCGAGGCTTCAACTCGACCTCCTCCTGTGCCAAGCCTTTGCAATGTAAATCTGCTTGCGCTCTTCCTTACTAAGCTGCTTAGGAGTTGAATTTACCGTCCAATTGCACATCCATGCTGGTTATAACCCTCTAGTTGGGAAGGCTGCAGGTGCAACAGCCTGAATTTGGTGCTAGTCAGGTATTGCACAGTCCATTACGTGGAACTTCACATAGGTTCCTACTCAACGTGCAGCTGTCTATCAAGGATCCGTTCACAGATTCAGTGCTCACTGGAACGTAGGCTTGTTGATCCCATTTGTGATGCCTGAGGTGCTTGCGTGAAGCAACTGCCGAGGCGAAAACGCAGGAGCGACTTGCCTGCTATCATTATTTTTTTCCGTTGTGGCTTCTTGCAGCCAAAGTAAAAATACTAGACGTCACGAGCATATGTAACATTGGCGTGATGGTAGTGTTCAGAGATCCCCGCCCTGTGATTCAGAACGGAGCGTGTCCTTTGTCTATAGGGATTGGAGAATCAAGAAATACTCACGAGCTTTAACTACCACTGGTATTTAGCATTGAGCATCTCCAGCCACAATGGGTCTGAGACAATTCAGCCTGAACTTGCCAATGAAGAGCATGGAACGCCTTGTTAAAACAACATGACGCACGTTACACAAGGCTTCATGGAGTTCAAATAGGGGTGGCCTGAGTGTTGCATCGGCTCTTCGACGGCCACTTTGCGTCACCGAGGCTTGTGAAGCTGCTGCACCACAACCAAGGGCAGGCGCCGCTGTAGGGGTTCGGGACGAGACTGAGATGAAGCAAAAATGGTGGTGATGATGATGATAATGAGGGTGAGGGTGGTGAGGGTGACGAATCGGATTTCATCAGAGACTGCGGGCATTAGCTTGGAAATGACTATTCCCACCCCAATTCCTATTTCGGCCTCCGACCACTTTCTGTAGGGAGGACGTGGCTGGCATCCCTAGCTTCAGATCAAAGTTTGTCACTGAAGAGGGAGCAAGTGATCGATTAAAGCAGAGACTTAGATTCGTTCTCATACGCCTGCTTGACGTTGCTTGTTTTGCACCTTCCACGCCTGGAAAAATGTCTACACAGTCATGTGTGTAGCGCCTGGAGGCCCGCTGGCAGGTTGGGAGTCCAGGTATATTCCACCAGTCTCATGCATCAAGGCTCCCCATACGTGCCACCTACCTCACCTAATGGCAAGCAAACCTCACAACAATCTCGCAATCAGAACCACCCTTTGGACCCTTGAAGTGAGGCCTGCATTGTCTTCTGCGCCACTAAGATGCTCAGAAGCAATAACGCAAGTAAACAAGTGCAACGTGGTCCTGAGATGTGTTTTGTGCCAAGAGAAGTTGGCAGTCATATAACGCTCCCCCGGTCGACAGGGGCAGTATGGACCATGTCTGCTGGAATCATTCCTGCTTTGAGACAGCTGCCATGAACAACTCGATTTCAAGAGGTGGGTTGAGGGTTCAGGGTTTCGGGTTTAGGGTTCAGGGTGAGAATGCAAGATCAACGCAGGGGGGGGTAACGGTCTACGTAGCTCTGTCAATACTCTGGCACTACAAGCTGCAAATCACAAAGGCCTTGGATATGGGTAAGGATCTTTCTGGCCTTCCGCATGGAGCTGAGTGTGTCGGACTTCTTCTCGTAGCACCCGGATCACCAAAATGAAGTTGCTCTTAGAGGGTTTTCTTCCAAAGGTCAATGACGGTCAATGCGGGTCATGGCATGCCCCAAGGTACCTTTGACAACTTCTCATTCCATCACCGATCCCTTTCCTATCTTGCCAGCCAGACCCCCAAATCTCAGGAAGCGCGCTGCACATTTGGGCCGAGAGCTGCGCGAGGCAGCAGCAGCAGTGGAAACACCAATGCCTGCCCCCCAAAATAAGCCCTTTTGGACGGCATGACATTAGCAGTAGCAGCTCGTAAGAGAGCAGAAGGGAAGGTCGGTATGTATTTTGCATCCATTACCAGCATTCCTCCGAGAAAGCGTTCATTGTTTACCATTTAGGGGCCGTGGATTGAAAGAGATATGGTCATGTTGATGCTATGCTTTATGTGGCTTTGTCAAGATTAACCCCATGATGGCGTGTAAGGGCTAGGCGCCACAAGTAAAGGTCAATGCACATATGGAGAGCCGCAATCATCGTTGGATGTGCCCTTTTGGCTCCAAGCGCCCAAATCCAGCTCTGAAATTTGGATGCTGCAGGGTGACTTAAGTCATGAGGTATGTGGAGCTTACAAATTTGGACTCTGGTATGTCGGGTATGAGAAGTGCGAGTTTGAAAGCTTAAGGGTGAAGTCTTGCAACGCTCTTTCCACGGTTTGTCCTATGTAGGCCACACCATAGTATTGTAGTCATCGTTACATAAGGATTACAAAGCAAGTATTTTGGAAAAGGTATTGGTTATTATCCAGGATTCTACATCAATTGTACCCCCACCCTGCGTCCACGGAGGTCGCAGATTTCTTTTGCCGATGTCTCCTTGTCCAAAACCCCTTTCTAGGAGATACAATCCCCAGGTAGGCAACAAAACACGTTGTAGCCACGTCCCTTATACTTACCATTATGGATAAACCCAGCGTTCCCATAATATACCTACCTAGGAGATATCGGCGATCTTGCCAGGCATCCTTTGCTGTCAGGGCGCTGCATGGAGATCTGCCACAGTCAGAACGACGCTGGGCACTTCTCAAAACCCTACACCCTAAGCTGGGATTAGGGTTTTAGGGTTTAGGGCCAGGACTGGGGCGTTGGGCTTTAGGGTTTGATTTGGCTTTTGTGATAGGTTTGCGGGCTCAGGGTGTGGCACGTCAAAGGGTTTGAGAGAGGATTGATGAAATTTGTGAATGGCTCATCTTTGGTGCTCTGGATCCGGCAAAGGAGTAAGCTGCTAATTATTTCTCATGCTAGTTCCTCCTTGGTAGTAGTATATTATCGTATATTAGAGTATATTATATTATAGTATATTACTATAGTATAATGCAGTATATTACTATATATATATACACATATAGCCTAATCCAGTATATTACTACAGTACATTTATAGTTTATTATTGTAGTATCAAGCTTGTAGACTTCCTGTGCAGTACGTATTGGTCCTGCAAACGTATATTCTAGGAATCCCCGATGCTTGCTTTGCTTTAGGTATGTTGCCTGGAAGCTTCCAGGCCATACCATCAATGGGAACAGCATGCCGGGTGTTCCGAAACCCCAAAGTGTGAGGGTGGCTGCGTGTGCCAGTTGAGCAACCAGGCCCCGATAATCCATGATCTACTAACTTGGCCTATGTTCCTTAATCCCCTCCCCCTCATAGTATCCCGTCAATAAGCATCCGCCCGAACCTGCACTTGGGGGTGAAGATTTATCACTGGGTACCCTAAACCCAAGGCCTTACCTAAACCTCAAACCCCAAACCCTAAACCCTAAACCCTAAGAAGATTTGAGGCCAATTGGCCTTGACTGCATTCCGGTCTGGGGACGCGAAGCTTGTCTAATAGGTATATAGGGGTTTGTTTTTTCCCAGGGTTGTTTCCCAAAATTAGGGGTCCTCTTTTTGGGGTCAGAAGGAGGACTATAGTACTGTGCGTTTATATGAGGATGCTTCCCAGCTAGTAATCGAAACTCCCTTCTTGGTGAATTCTGTGGCGACGTGCCCACTGGTATGCAAAAAGCAGTTGCAAGCCTTCTTTAAGTAAATTCTTCTTCTGACACGTAAGCTTCTTCATGCTTTCAGCTCCTGCCTTATGCCTGGTGACATGCAGCTGGCCACACTTCAAGGCTGAAGTATCTGGGTCAAAGGTTTTGATGTGTTGCTTGGTGCAGCTGTTTGTATGATGCTGGGTTGAAAAATGACTGTTGTATGACTTTGCTCGATTCGAGGCACTGACTGGTTCCTGTTGCGAATCCGTTAAGCTTTGTCAAGCGAAGGATCTTTGGTTCAGGCCTAGTTGCTTTATAATAAGAATGTTGCAGTCTAAACTTAGTATTAACAGCAAGAATAGTAATCATAGTCATAATAGGAAGATTGCTAGCCAAAAAAGCAGAGAGGCTCAGACGTCACATGTCCCTTTGACACAGTCTACGGTCTTACAAGCATCCTGGACCAATCTTGACCTTTCTCGGCATTTCAGCTACATCGAGCGATTGGCATCACCTTGCATGTAGCACCCCCAGCCAGCTAACTTCCATACATGCCTTGTTGCACTCCTCTCGCAGTGTGGCATCTGACTTGCCCTCGTCAGCTGCAACAAGCTTGCACAATCAGCTCAAACTAAGTCAAACCGCGAAATGCGAAGCTCGCATACATTAGAGCCTACACATTTCAGGAACATTCTGGTGGCCACTGACGTTGCTGCTAGAGGCCTGGATATAAAGAGCAACTTGGCTGAGATCTTGAAGAGGATCATTTCAACATTGGATTCCCTGTCGCCAGGAGCCGGTGGTACAGGGATCTTGTGTTTGAGGAATTTCCGCTTAGGAGACCTGACGCTTGTCAAAGGGTTAACTCAAAGACTTCCCACAGAATGATGTCATATGCACATTCACAGGTGTTTGGAGGCTGAACTTGTCAGCCCTGGCAAGCTCAAGAAAAGGCCAAGCTTACAGTACACGTCAATGATTAAGCCACAAACCTCCAGGAATGTGCTCCCAATTGGCAAGCGGTCATCGGCAGCCAAGTACAGTCTGAGCCTGGGAACACTTGCCAACAGCATTCGCGTCTAGACCTGGTATATCGGCACAGTATATATACTGTTCCTCAAGTACATGAAAGCCGCTTTGAAAACCTACGAAGCTACAAAGAGTTGTCCTTTTCCCTTAATCCTTCTATGGCAATATTGCAAAACATGCCAAGGCAGTATTCAAAGTATTGAGGCCTCTCCCTGAAATCTAGACCCATTCCCATGATGTCAGGCCATCAAGTAAGCGCCCTTTGTCCAAGGCGTGTCCTATGTGGTAAGCTTCGACCCTGCTGCTGGGGCCCCAGTCTCGCTTGGGGTTTCGCGTTTGGGGCGTTCAGGGTTTGGGCGTTGGGTCTAGAATCTAGAATTTCATCAGCTGGTAGTACCGGGTCTTTGGAACTGCGCCATGCATACAGTTCTGGCTTGGACCCAATACTACAAGCAAAGATCCACGAAGTGTAACGTGTGAGTGTATACAGACACATCACAGGGCTAGGCGCGGGCCTGTTGCTCACCTGATCCTTGTTAAGGCGTAATTGACAAAACATCACCTTTGAGTCTAGGGCTTCATCTGGACCCCATCCTCCCACCTGGTGCTATAGTCCCTTAAGTAGACAGAATATGTGGGTGGGCTGATCTTATTATTATATGGGTCAATTCCATATTCTCTCTACCTAAAGGGGACTATATCCTGAATTGCACGGACGCTGAAGCAGCCCCCAGGGTCTCACAGATCCATGAAGACGTGGTCGTACCAGACCCTAAGCCTAACTGCAAGCATGGAGGCCTAAAAGAATATCGCCCTTAGCTTTTTTAAGCTTACACACATAAATGAGGGGCCTCGATTCACATCATCTTCGAGCTTGTGTTGTGTAACGGCTGTAAGGGTTCTAGAAGATTGAAGGCGCTGAAGTGATCCTTGTTTTGATACATGCATGGGAGCCGTATGACTATGCCAATACACCCGCACCATTTGGACCAATCGATATCTTTGTGAAATCACTGCATAACGCAAGAGCCCCTTCAGGGTCCTAATGAGTGTTCGGATAAGCTCCTGCATAGGTGGCTTTGCCCCTGCAGGTCTCCCTCGACGGCCACGTGCACCGCGTGGGTCGTTGCGGGCGTGGGGGGAGCGTTGGGCGTGCCTTCGCCTTCCTTGGTTCCGAGGAGAGTGCTTCTTGTAACGTGACCCATATTCTCCTTGCGCTTTGTAGAGTAGCTGCTTTCCTGCTTAGGAGCCTTTTCAAGTTTAAGGCTTCTGGGGGACTTCTGGAAGACTTCTGGGAGGAGTGAAGAATTCGAGGTTGGGCCGTTGGGTTTTGGCTTTCGGGGAAGCGGTTAAGGTTTCGGGTTTCAGGGTTAATTAGTTATTGGAAGATATGGAGCTCTTGATTCAAAGTGCAGGGCTTTGAGTTCAGCATGTACAGGCTCAGGAATGACGTCCCTGAATTATGGAAACTCACGTATGCACGAATCCCCCTCCTCCTAAAATTGAAGCCCCCGCCCCCCCATGCTCAATATTTCCCACAGATTATAATATAGCGAAATGAGCATCTAGTTCCCCTTCAGTAGATAGAATATGGCTTTGGGTATATTACAATAAGAACCCCATATACCCCATATTCTATCTACTTCAGGGAGATTATAGATTGACGTGTAGAGTCTGCGGCCTGCTTGGGAGAGCAGGCCCTTGAGACAGCTGAGAGACTTAATGTGTCACAAATCTTTAAACAGAGGTCTGGGAATAGAGGGGGCGTAGCTAAAAACTCTTTGGTGCCATAGCTCCTCTCTCTTGTTGGTAGAATCAGGAATAGGGGTAGGAGAGTAGGAGTAGGATTTCAATCTGGTTTCCGCAAGCAACTTACGATGGCGATGCTAATTCAGAGCAATGCCATACCGGCTCATGATGCAATTTTCCGATTGCAAACTGAAGGCTTAGAAAGGTTATCGCCACATGCGCCCTGCAAAACCTGCCCAATAATCCCCATATAACCCCATTGAAAACTATATACTCCCTATATAACCCCATTATATATGATCAGTGGAACTGCGCAATGAGCGCATTCTGGCTAATGCAAGCCACTCCAAGAGAGGGAGAGTAGAACTCTAGGCCTCGGTAAAGGGTTTAGGGTTTAAGGTTTAGGGTTTAAGGTTCAGGGTTTGGGGTTTAAGTTAGGGTCTAGGGGTTAAGGTTTAGGTTCTATGGTTTAAGGTTTAAGGTTTAGGGTTTAAAGGATTCCAAAAGTACCCCCCCAAAGGTACCCCCCCTGGGTTTAAGGA